GGCTTGGGAGCCCTGGCGGTGGCAGCTGGGGGAGGGGAGCGGGGGCGTGTTTGGCCCAGCCGAGGCAAGGGACTTGAAGTTAGCAGCTTGCAGTGGGGGCCCCTTGAGGCACAGCGTCCTGGGTGCACTGGCGCCCCCCTCCCTGTTTCAGTTCGGTAGTGGAGCCTGGCAGGTTCAGCAATCCATCTCCGCGGTCCTTGCAGCCCCGCGCCGCCCGCCACCGCCAAGCGGAGCGCGGCTGCCCCGCTTCTGGCGCCGCCGCCTGCCCACGCCTCCTCCTCCTCCTCCTCCTCCTCCGAGGCCGCTGCGCGCTCCCCGCGCCGGCTGCGCGCTCTGAGTCCTCCCGCCGCCGCTCCTTCCTCTCCCGGCTTCTCCTCTCGCCCTCTCACTCGCCGCCTCCTCGCAGCCACGTCCCTCCTTCTCTTTGCAAAGTGCTCCTGGCCTGCTAGCGCTTGCTTCAAGGTGCCGGGAGGTAAGTGGGGGGCAGCGGATCTCGGGGCGACAGATCTGGAGCCTGCGGATCGCAGCCGCTGCCGCCGCCCGCCGGCCACGAGAAGCGCCCGCACGCTGCGCTCGGCTGCTGAAGCTGGAGGGAGGCGGTCCCCGCCTAGGGCATCGGTCGGTGCCTGCTCCTTCGGCTTCCCCCGCACCCCCAGGACCAGGAACCCCTTCTTGATCTGACCACGCTGAAACTGAGAAGCCAAAGAGCCTCAGGCTGATCCTGCTGTCGTTATTTTTCGTTGTAACTTCAAAAGAGGAGGAAAGAAAATTCTCGAGTCCCCTTCGTTGACGTCTGGACACTCTTCACCCTCCCCCACCACTCCACCCCACCCTACCTCGGCTGGGAGGGGGCAGGTTTTTACAGGATTCGGGGTTGTTTTTCCCCCCTTAGGTGACACCAAAAAATGGGCGATAGGAGGGCTTGTCAAAATAGTTCTAGAAACTTGAGAGGACGCCTGGACACTTTTTTCTTATATATTCATTCTTGTCATTCCTGGAGAATAAGGATGAATTGCTTTTTTTTAAGAACTGAAAAAAATGACAGCTTGGTAACTAAAATAAGTTGTAAGTTGCATAAAACGCTTACTGAGAGGGGCAAAAATAAGTAAATAAAGAGCGGTTAACTGTAAATTTTCAATCTTTTATTAAGCCTAGTCTTCGGCTCAGACTAAGTCTAGTGTCTTGACGTTCTTCTCACCACTCCCCCCTGGGGGATTAAAAATAAAAATAAAAATGCTTCAGTGATTATTTATTTATGTATTTGTTTCCTGGCATGTTTTTTAAAAGGCAATTTTGGAATCCCCAAAAGTTTGTGGTCGAGAGATGAAGGAGTGCGGGGGGTGGGGGGAAGCGGCGGTTTTTACCTAAAAAGTGGTTTTTGGAGGCTGGGATTTCTAATGATTAGGTTTTTGTGGTTTCTATAGACACGACTCAAGCTAAGGCGATCATTAAGCTGATGGGAGACAGAAGCACGTGGGTGTCTCCGACCAGCCTCAATTTCTGAGCCTTCAAAAACAAATCAAACAATGTGCGGCGCCCACAGAAGCCGGGAAATCCGCTGGAGGCTGCTACACCCCCAGAACTAGGAGCAGCAACATTGGGCCGGGCCATTTCACCTCTCGCGTGTTCAGTTATATGTCTTATTTAGCCGATTATTATAAAACTTCCAAATATAATCATTTGCCAATGCCCCGATGATTCCTAACAAGGTAGTTGACACGGTCGCGACTTCGTGCTATCAGTAAAAAATTGGAGTCTCCCCCCACCCCTCCACCTTGAAGGACTGAGGTAGAGGAATAGCTGGGTACCCTACCTCCGGTCTCCTGTCTTGGTTAAAGCTCTTCGCATCTCCACTAATTGGAGCTTTTATTGCTGGGTGCAAATGCCTCCCAAGTTCTGCAAAAGACCTGTCACGGCCCTTGCTATAGGTTTAAAGCGCAGCTGCCACTCCCTGGCTCTGCGCGCGCCCACAGGGCCAGGGGGAAAGTACCCGGGGTGCAAAAGAGGTAGTTTGCGCCTGTGCGGGACTCAAGAGCCTGGGGAGCCCAAGATAAGCACGAATCTCTGTGCTCAGGTGACTTAGAGACCGGTGTTCGCTTGCCCAAGAGGTGTGCTGGAGTCTGAGGAGTGGACAGGTATGAGAGTGACTGTGTGCTCTCTCGCAGGCGTAGGTGTGAAACTGGGTGGCACTACTATGCCCTCCCTCTTTGTGTCATTATTTCTGCCTCCTCTTTCTGCTGGCTCCACTTACAGCTATTCCAGCTTTGTGGGTCTTTCCTAGTCTCTTTGCTCTTTCCGGATTCTTCTCCCCATCCTCCTGGCAGACTTGAGCCACCTCCCCACGCCTGCCTCTCAGTCTCCCTCTTCTGCCACCGCCTGCTTCTCCTCCACGTTACAGAAAAGCAATTCTGTGCCACCAACTGTAACACCTACTGCCCACCCTGTTCCTCTCAGCTGGTGGCTTCCAAGTCCCTAGAGCTCCGATTCAGGACCACTGAAGCCACTTATCTCAAGGCTTATAGGCGCAGCTGGTTGCTGAGCTGCCTCCTAAGGGTTCTACTTTTAGTAATCGTTTTTATCACAGGGGAGAGCTCTAACCCTGAATACAGCTGCAGTGCCTGTGCGCTCTAGTCTCCCCATCCATAAATGCCAGCCTGTTAAGGAAGCCAGGCTTCCTTCCCCATCTGAGAGACCGCACCCAACACCCACCTTCTTTACACACTCGCTTGTCACACACTGACATTATGACAATTAAATGCATGCCCCTCCTGCCTTTAGTGGGACAGTTTTCTTTGGGGGACACATCTGATGGAGATGGCTTGTTTTCCTTACTCCTCTTATTGAGTGTCTGGGGGACTACAGAAGAGGGGAGGGGTCATGGGAAATGGATTGAATCTGAAGTTATAGATACTAAGTCATTGGGAGATGACATTATCTCCTCCTCCTCCTCCTCCTCCTCCTCCTCCTCCTCCTCCTCCTAACCCACAGAGCAGGGAACTTCCAGAAACTGACAGACACTGAGAAACAGTCCATATTTCAAATAGGGGCTCTCAGAGGGGGTGCTTTTCAACAAGAGATTCTAGGGTCCTTTGAATCTAAGAAATCCTCCTATCTTGGGGACTTTTTCTTTCCCACTATTGCTGTTTAGCTACCATCACTGGGGGTGGGGGCAACTTGATGGATAATGAAGCAAACAAGCCTCAATGGTTGGGGATTTTAAGGGCAATTTAATCAATGGTGAGATTATTTATTTGAATTAATTGTATCCGGTAATTCAGCTTTATAGCCTTCCTGGGTATCCTCTCGCCCGCCATTAAACATTCCAGTAGAACTAATGTAAGCAGCTCTTGGAAGTTCCCAGTCTTGGATCCCTTAAAATATCCTACAGTTATTTATAATGTGGAAATGAAATTTTCCACTGAATGCCCTAACAACGGCTCAGGTATCTGGCACCATGGACTTTGGTCCCCTTTCAAAAACACACACTGGCTGAGCGCTTACACTTTCAGCTGGAACTGGCCGGGTCTTGGCTCTGAGCACTAACCTTCAAGTAGGACACAGTTCCACGGCCCCTTCACCCAGACTCCCCTAATAGTAAGCACGTAGGGAGATGGTGAGCTTTCTGCTTATGTGTCTTTACTGCTGTGCAATACTTGATCTTGCTCCTTGGCTTAGATTTTTCTTCTACAGGAAAATGTTTCAAGCAAAGGCTGAGAACACAGCTCATTCTGTAAAGTGCTTACTGCAGGGGCATGAAGTCCTGAACCCCATGTCTAGCCCCCTCCCAAAAAAGCAGAGTCAGATGGTGTGTTTGAAATCTGGTGCTGGGTAGACAGAGTAATCAATCCCTGGGACTTGCCACCTAGACAGCCTAGCCTACTCAAGGGCCTCCAGACCAGTAAGAGCCTGTACACAACATAAACATCACACACACACACACACACACACACACACACACACACACACACAATTCTAAGCAGATAACCCAATTGATTCCTCTATAGAAATATTCTTTTCAGTTGTATGTTACGGCGCTAAAATATTTTTTTTCTTCCTAAAGATTTAAGAACTCTGAAAGATACAAGCCCAGCCCTCCTCTACTGCCCTGTCCTTTAGTGTTTAACACAACTGTTACATGACCATACCTAACAGTCTTCTTTCTTGCTTTTTTTCCCCCCAGGGGGAAGGCAGGAAGAACTGAATGCCCAAACCAGGAACAGAATTCAGGCTTCATCCTAACCCCATCTACATTATTTTGTATACTTTTATTTCATGATGAAAAGTGGAGAAAGTCTCTGTAAAAACTTAAAATATTTTTTGATGAACCAACTAATAAAGTAGGATAGCCAATGGAAAATCCTAAGCTCTCTGAAGGTGTGTGTGTGTGTGTGTGTGTGTGTGAGAGAGAGAGAGAGAGAGAGAGAGAGAGAGAGAGAGAGAGAGACGGGGTTTTATAATCAGAAAGCTCTGTGGAGACTTTCCTTTGGGGTTTGACTTTATGAGGTTAGCCTGGAGAACAAACAGTATCACCAAACCAACAGTGATCATGCTGGAACCCATGGGCTAAATCTGGCCTAGTGACTCTTTTTGTACTGCCCTACAGGCTGTGGTGTTCATGTGAATGTGTATGCATGTTTGCTTGCTCAAGGACACACCCACTGTGTGGGTGCGCGTGAGTAGATTTGCATACAGAGGCTCTAGGTTGATGGGGGGGGGGCATTCTGGATAACTCCCAAACTCACCAGCCAGTTTGATCTGGGGATCCCCAGTCTTTGTTTCTGAGGCTGGTATTGGAGGCTGCCACAATGCCACAACAGCCAACATTTTTTTTTCAGTCCCATAACAGTCAACATTTCCATGTGTTCTGGGAATCTGAACTTAGATCCTCTCTCTTGCATGGAAAGAACTTGTTAAAATTTTTCTTTATTCATTTTGTGTGTATGGGTGTTTTGTCTGCATATATGTCTGTGCAACACTTGAGTGTCTGATACCATCAGAGGATAGAAAATGATGTTGGATCTCCCTGGCAACTGGAGTTACAAATGGTTGTGAGCTACCACATGCATGCTTGGTGGAAGCAAACCCACGTCCTCTGGAAGAGCAATCAGTGCTCTTAACCGCTGATCTTCCAGTCCATACTAGCATTTTAACCACTGAGCCATCTCTCAAGCACAGGTAATATTTTGAAAGGTTTATTACCTCTATTTCATTCGTGGTTCCACAAAGAACACACCCAGAGCTTTCTGGTATACCATGTGTTCACAAGGTCTATGTGTGCTCACTTTCAAGACAGTTAGCTGAGAACTTACATGATCCCAAGGCCTTCTGAGATATTTTCCCATTCTAATTTTTAGACAGTTAAATGCTGTCTGATCTGTTTTAAGCTCTGTAAATTTTCCCTATAACAATTTGCATGGCTGTAAAAAGAGATGAAATGTTTGTAGCAGAGGGCTCAGCATCATGACCCTTTCCTTGTTGTGCTAGTTAGCATTCCCAGGGGTCATTTTCAGGCACTCATAAGAGTACAGCGTTGTCGTAAAAAGGCTGGTGCTTGCCATAGGATCCTCTGAGTTGCCTTTATGCCGTTCCTATGTAATTAACATGCCCTTTAAAGGGACTTACGCTTGGTTTGACTAAAATACCAACTTCCGAAACAATATCCTAGTTACCTGAAGACCAATATTCTAAAAATCAGTCATTTTCCAGAATTTAGAGAAATAAAATTATTTTTTTAATAAGCCTTCTGGTATTTAGGTGTTGGCTGTTGGCCTACGGCAGTAGCAGTGATCAACCGTGGAATGTTCTATATAAAAGTTTATGAGGGTTTTGTGATGAAACATCTGAGAAACCCTAAAATTAAAAGTTTCCTGTAGTAATCCAATCATCTTATCAAAATGCTCTCCTCTTCCCCAACCACACCAGAAAAGGTGTTATTCAATTTTAATTCCTCTTCCCAAGTGCAGAGGCCTGACTTTAGACCTTGAAGGGAACCTCGAGTCAGGCCCCCTCAGTAAGAGAAAAGTAAACAGTGACATCCTTGATCCATCTGAAAAAGTACAAAAATCACCGTTTTCACCATGTCATTAATTTCAATTACAATTGAGAGGTGGGGAAAATAGATTAGAAAAATGCACTGAAGGTCAAGAGTCCAACTCTTTGTATCCACTGACTCCAACTGTAGGCAGGCAGTAGATTATCTACCATTCTTGGGTGTTTTGTGTCTCTAGGATTCACCCTCAGAAACTGCTTACAGTGTTTCCCCCTCAGCCTCCACAAACTAGACTTTTCTCAGAAAAACAAAACAAAACAAAAAACGCTTACTTAACCCCACCTCGCTTTAATCAAGTCTCATAAGCAATGATTCCTTCACCCCCAGCTTTCAGTGATTACCCTGACACCTTTTGGATGGCCAAATGGGGACTGGACAAGTGTTTGAATGTCTTCCACTAGCCAGCTGTGATGCTTTCATTTGTGAGCTAATTTTTTAAAAAAGTAATTTTACTTTTTTAAAAAATGGGCAAACCTTTCCCCCAGTCACATTCCGGTCAGTGACTAGTCTTGCTCCAGGGCCATTGCTCTCCCTTGTAGGCTTCACTTATTCATTTACTGCC